AAGTGGCGTATCGTTCATGCTTACAATAAGTTCAAAAACGCCAATTCCTAGAAGGATGTTCTCCAGAACAATAGGTTGGCTGTAAAAAGTACAGCGCACTCGACTTGGTCGATTGTTATTACCAATTTGTCATTAGAGTGAGTAAAATGTTGCAGACAGCGGTAAGTACTCCGAGCGGGATGCTCTGTGAGTGGCTGGTGATTCCCCAAGGGCTGTCAAATGCACCAGCAACAATGAATCGTCTTGTGACGCGATTGTTCAGGCTCCATCGGGCGTATGCACAAACATACTTCGAAGACATCTTCGTTTACAGTGGTGCAGAGCACAAAAGGATAGATGAGAAAAACCACATCGTCTATTTGGGTGTGGTGCTCAAGTGTATGTGCACGAATAAGCTGTAAGCTGATGCATATAAGTGCATCTTCGGCGCTGAAAAAATCCCTTGATATGGTGCTTCATGAGGAAGCGTGGCTCTTGAGCGAATCTCGCTACAGTCAAGGCCATTGCAGACTGGTCGGTTCAAACAAACAAACCAAAAGGACTTGTACAAGTGGCTTGACCTCGCCGACTACTTGCACAAGTATAGCGCGAATTATGCGAAAATGGGACGGCCAATGTCGATTCTCCTTAAGAAGGAAACAAAATGGTGTTGGGACACCGAGAATCGGAAGGCTTCTGACGGGGTTAAAGACAGCATCCTTCATGCACCAATACTGGCGTTGCCAGACCCCGATCATTCTTTTAGTTTTGTCTGTGACGTTCGGAATTTGCCATCGGCTGTGCATTGCTGCGATCAGACGCCGAGGGACGAGATCGGGTGATCGTGTTCGAATCTCACCTGATTACGGCTGCGGAGAGGAGCAACCCAGTACTTGCAACGAAGTATACACTTGTCAGGTTCAGGTGCACCTGTTCGGCTCAAAGCCGTTTGTGATCTACACAGATCATGCGTCACTACGCACTGCGACTCAGCCGCCTCACCTCCAGAGGATGACCAGGTGGCTCTCATTCATGCAAAATAAAACTTTGAAGTGAAGTATAAAAAGGATAGCAGAATGCTTTGGCTGATGCGTTGTCACACAGACCGGACTATGAGCTTACTGATGTCGTGACCGTAACGTCGTCTGTGACGGATTTGATCCGTGCAGCATGCGCGGGTGATGATATGTGCGTAGCTCTGCTACGGGTTCTCGGGGTCAGGGAGTTTGAAAAATTGGACAAGAAGTTGTTGTCGCAATTGCGCACACTGTTGCGCCGATATTTGTTAAATAACGGGTTAATGTATTATAGTACCGATTCGACGGATACGCCACGAATTGGGTTCCTCACAATGAGGATTTGAAGTACCATATTCTCTATGACGCCCACGACACCCTACTCAGTGATCATTTCGGTCGTGAGAAGACGTACAGCTTGGTGAGTTGCCTCTTTTGGTGGCCCTTGCTGTACAAGTGAACGAGTACATATGCGTGTGCGTGCGAGACGCGTCAAAGTGTGAGACCCTCTCCGATACGGCGGCGCTGACCAGTTTAACCGGAACCCTCCGAGTGTTGGCAGTCTATGTGGACTTTCTGTATAGCCTGCTGGAGGTCTCTGCAGACAACACGGGTGTGGTGGTCTTTGAGAACCGTTTGAGCAAGATGGTTCATCTTGCGGCAGTGCGGACACCATTGACTTATTGTTATCAATTAATTCAAATTTATTTTTTTTCAATTTGAATTGCTGATGTAATGGGGCACGGTGTGGGTACAGCGACACTGGTTGTCAATCGTGTCATTCGACATCATGGACTCCCGAAGTGAGTTGTCTGGCATAGAGACCCGCGCTTCACTGGGAAGTTTCGGTCTACACTTTTCAGGATGCTGGGCACCAAGATGACTATGTCAACAGCGGACCATCTGCAGACCGATGGTCAGACTGAGCGCGTGAATCGCGTCGTCGAAGACGTTCTACGCAGCGTATGCGCTGAGACGCTGAAGCGCTATGTTGTCACTCGTAGCGTTTGCTCTGAACAATGCAGTGCATTCATCTATCGACTATACGCCGTTCTACGTGAACGGGCCTATTAATCCTCGCGTCCCGCTGACGCCGCCATCCCATGGCTCGGGGCTTGGTGGGGGAGGAATAGCCGAACGGCTAGCTGATGTCAGCACCTCACCATGTGTAGACTTCCTGTCTACTAGATTAAGTATTACGACACCTTTGCGATGCGATGGCTGAAAGCCAAGCCATGCAGAACGATTTGCAGACAGAAAAGGAAGAAGAAATGTTGAAAACATTGATGTCGGATACGAGGTTTTATTAAACACTGAAAACCCTTCGACAAATGCAGTTTCTGTTGTCTTTAAGACGAAATCAGTCCACAATTTTTTCTGAATCTCTTAAGGTCATGGCCATGCGAGGCCTAGCGTAATCGCCCAACCTTCCGAGAAGGATGCTCACCCATCTGGTGTTTATGTGGACTTGCTTAAGCCGTACCGGGATCCGGCGCCCAAAGGCGCTCGGCTTCCCAGAAGTTGAACTAACAACTGGTTCTAAGCACGGAGTGCAACAACTTCCACTTAAAACGGCGAAAGGCGCTCCACCGTCGCACCATGTGACGTATTTGCCTGCTCGACGGCTAGGAGCCGCTCCGACAAAGCACGAAAATCCTTAACGCCAGGCATTCATTGCAAAAAGTGCTCTAGGCTTTCGAGGTCTTACACACAGCGGTAGGCGGCCTCGGAGAGATGCTCGGCGGAATGCCGATGACGATAGACTTTGTCCTCCAACGCTCGGAGAGCATCGCGAGTCACCGGACGGCAATCGACCAAGTCGACATCGTCCACCGACGACTCTTTTTAATGAGAATGGTGGCAACCATTACCACGTGGAACGCCTTTTGGGTCGACGTCGTCGATGGAGGGTTTCAACCCAATATCTTGTGAAGTGGCGGGGATATCCAAACTCCGAAAATTTGTGGGAGTAGAGGTTCCACTTCAGCAGGACTGCCCAAACGTCGTAGACGCTTGTGACAGAAGGATCATGACGCCTTGCGTCGACAGGATCATCGCGCTTCTCGGTAGTAGCCCGGATAGATGAAGTGCGCCAACGGCGCGACTTGAGCCCAGCTCAAACCCTGCGGACACCATGTCCGTTCCCCGACCTCTCAGAATCCGGAGGAAGTGGTATTGTTACTAATCGCCTCGACGAGACAAAGAAGCAGCAATTGGAAGCTGCTCAGATGGCGGCTCTCCTGCGCTCGAATCCACGTTCGATCTTAGACCCTCGTGTGGAATACGGCTTCCGCTCGGCGGATCTCGCTACTGAAGCGAAAGACGCGATCACTCGAACGAAAGGTGTCTACGTAGTCGGGCCTCCGGCTACTACACAAGCCGAGCTTGATCAGCGGAAAGCTCAGCGAGCTGGCTTATTGATTTATCTAGGAGACCCCAATGGATCGGTACCGCGCTTGACTTCGAGCTCAAAAAAGAGGTGCTTCTGTTCCCGCAATGAACCATTCTTGTGGTGCTTGCCCCCGGCGAAACTGCTGCAGATGATGATGTGCTCTTTGAGCAATGGGTGCAGCGGCACCGGAAATCGGCTTTACTGTCTACCTGACAGCGAAGCCACAAGGGAGTGGACGTGCGCGTTGATCGCCATCTTAGATTTGAGTTTGCCAAACTCAAGGCGCGCACCGACTTCCTTCGTATTGTCGCCCTGCGACATAAGGAACAATCCATATCGCTTCTGCGAGCTCCGTGGTCTCTCACACGGGTGATTCTACGATCACAGCAGCATAGATCCATAGCTTCATGGCCCTCCGGCTTCCCTCGTCACCCCATGCTGGAAAAGAAGTGTCCAACTCGTAGTCGACTTCCTCCAGTTCCTCAACAAGAAAGTACGTCGCCCGGGGGGGGTGCCCATTATGTTGTGCCCAGTTGCCGAGGCCTTGGGATGTACTTCCCGTGAAGCCGCGGACGTACTGTCTGAAGATGCACCCTTTGCGGAAGAAGAAGGGCTTCGCCCGCGGTTGCACTCGGAACCAGCTAGGCTTGGTGTTTTGCGTGTCATAGATACAGTGCTCATTGAGCGGAGAATGTTTTAGGTTGTTCTTGTTAACGTAACGGTGTCTCAGACACGCGAGCCTCATATGAGGCGACCGTTAAATGTGAACTGAGGACATTCACAATTGGAATGGGGGAGAACACAACGGGGTCACAGCTGCCCTTGTGAGAAAGGGGGTCGCACAATCCTGTGCGACCGTACAAAGGTATGTATTTCACACTAGTGTAATAACACAGTGGTGTGGCTACACCGTAATAAGAAGCACCACGGCAGGATTGCCAGTAGTAATGCAAATTACTATATTGATAAGGCTCTATCATTCTATCATATTAGTTAGGAATTACAATATTAATTAGGATAAACCAGGGTTCTAGATATGAGAGGTCTGCCGAAACTAAAACAATTAAACAGTTTTTTTGTTTTTGAACAGAACAATTCGTTTGCCTTGGTAAGGCTTGAGTACTTAGAATTAGCGGGTTGCGATCCGCCACACTTGTATTGGTTTTTCATAAGAATCTGACCCTAGCTTACCTTCCTCAAAACAAAGAGCTACGGCAGCCCCACTGCATGAATAGTATAATTCAATTAATTTATTGGAAATATTCATTTATACAGATAATCAATTTCCCGTTTTGCCAGAGAGTGAAGAAATCTAATAAAAAAAGCAAACAATTTTAGATAGCATCAGCTCTAACTATATAAACTTTTAAAATGGCAGATCCAACTAGATGCTTTCTAGGTGAAGTACGAACCCAAACTCTGTGCGTTAGTTTATGCATACTCTTTGAGTCAAAGCTTTCTCCGTGCAAAGTGCACGGCAACTGCGTTGCATATCCTATATAAGCAGAAATCAGGCGCCTAGTTTTAGTGAAGATACAAAATTAAAACTTAATGATATCAGTTAAAATGAGCCCTAACGTTCACTATTAATCGTACCAAGCACTGCAAAGCAATCACTTGCGCGTAATTAGACGTGCTGCTACAAAAGACGTTGACACTACGAGGGTAGCAAGTGCCGCTAGTGTCACTTTGTCAGTATTCAAGTTGCTCCACTTAGCCACCATGTTCGTAATTGTTGATACCGACACGTTTTCATCCTTGTTTTTTCGAAACAGCTCTTTGGCCACAGCTCTCTTTTCATTCGAATTAGAGCCGCACGTCTCGAATGAATCTTCACCACCGAATGAGCAACCTACTTTGCTCCCTTCACAGGATTCTTCATTACCACAACAGTTGTCATTTCCTTTATGTGCACGATTATAACCGTCAGTCATGTCACCCGCCGCGGTTGCGTCGGACATCAAACTTAATCTCTTTACGGACAGATCTTTTTGGCTATTACAAATATGCTCGCGAACAGCTGCGGCCGCTGCAGTTACGGGCTGAGATTGTGATATCACCTTCCCGACTACGTGGAAACGCGCGGCGGTGATGACGTGCACCTCCGCCGTGCAACCTATGAGGGAGTCGTCACGGGGAAGGAGTACTTTGGTATAATTTTTGGTATGTGCAACCGTGTACTTTTTGTCGTCTGAGACTTCTGTATTAATCCAAACTTTATCGTTCGTACCCACCAAATGATGATAAGGATCAAATCCCTCGAACAGCTTTGTCAACTTGCGACTGCGAGTCTTCACTACTTGCGTAGGAATTCTTTTCATTTTTGCTGCCGGTGTACCTGGGCGAGGGTAGAACTGAGAAATGTTCATAATGTGAAAACGATACTTTTCGACAAGCTTCATCGTCTCGTCAAAATGTTTCTCCAATTCTGTTGGAAAGCCACATATAATGTCAGTTGCAAGCGTAAGATCTGGCACTTTGGCGAGTAATTCGTCCGCAACACGACAAAACTCAGCAACTGTATACTCCCGATTCATCGCCTGCAACACATCGTCACTACCGGACTGAACGGGAACGTGGAGGAACGAATAGACTCGATCGTGATTAAGCACTTCAGCAATTGCATCCAAGTGATTCAAGATGTATGGAGGGTTTGTCATGCCTACACGAAGCATAACGCCATCTGGCAAAACCTGCAGTAATTTGTGCAAAAGTGCTGGTAGATCGGTGTCAATGTCAATGCCATAAGCTCCAGTATCCTCGCTGGATAACCATATTTCAGTCACACCCTCATTTATCACCGATTGCGCTCTCGAAACAATAACTTCAGGCGTATAGCTTCCCAATTTACCTCGTGCATGACGCGTCTTACAATAAGTGCAAGCTCCAAGACAGCCTGTGCTGAGTGGAATAATTTCTACCATGGGATTCTTCCGAATTTTCGGCAAATCCAACTCAGGAAGGCGATTCTTGGACAAAAGACGAACAACGTGGCCTTTGAGAGTCTCCTCAACGACCTCCACAACCCGATCGACCTGCTGAATGCCAACAATGCTGACCCCCTCGAGGCCTTTCAAATGGCGATCAGCTTGTGGCACGCATCCAGCGACAACGACGGCTTTGTTTTGCTTACGACCCTTAATGACCAAGTGCATAAAGGCAGCCTGGGATGGGTCCTTGACTGTACAGCTGTTAAGCAGCCAAAGCTGCGCTATGTCTGGAGACTCTGTAAAGCGGTATCCATAACTTGCCAGTACGCCCTGCATGTATTCAGAATCGCTTACGTTGTGCGAGCAGCCATACGTCTTCATCCAGATAAGCTGCGTACCAGGAACATGAAGCTTCATGCTTTCCGAGTCACCGTCTGCCGTGTTGATGCTGTTGATACTGTTATCCATGGACACTTTAGATATTTCCTGAAAGTGCGGTTTTGGTGCCACCATCGGTGTGCGCACGGAGCTCAAGACCGCGCGATCCAGCTCCTCCTCGTTAATCATGTCCTCGATGTCGTCCATGTTTTTCAAATCGCAAGTTAAATTTCGTGGCCTGTAAGGTCGAATGATTTAGCATCGATATATTTGTAAAATACATATTTATCGTTATGGGATATTTATCGTTTTAATAGGTGTGATGTATATGGTGAAATGTATTCACTATATCTCGTCTAGACTTTGGAGACAAGGTCGATGACCAGATTCTTGTGTTACTTTAGCGCTGATATTGAAGTTCTGTTATCATGGATCACAGTGTACTCTTCAATTCAATAAAATTGATGAAGATGCTGCAACTAGCCCGGGTCTACCGGTGCAAAATGATGTGTCTTTGAAATTGTCAGACACATTTGTTTGTAATAAAATTGCTCTCAATGGAATTGTACTAGCGAGCGACGTAGTAAATGATTTAGCTTTACTCAAATAATCTGTCGAAACATGATGCGCAGATTGCTCCGCACAACTTACATCAGAGTTCATTTCGAACGTGGCATTTTAAGTTTAATCACGTGACTATCAGTCAATATCAGATCCGGGTCGCGCCATTTCCAAGGTCACATTTAGCCGAATCAACTTTCGCATTTCGCGGTATACGTTGTAATACAGGACTCAAGGGGTGAGCCCAACCGGTACGCGCTTAACGCGAAATTCCCATGTGCACCAACTTCACGCCTGATGACTTTGGATTGCTTCATGTCCCGCCTGGATAATATCTGACTGTTCCAACTTTCTATCCAAACACTGCCTAGAATGCGTGAAGATGACTGATCAGGTGCGGCAATCTCGTATGTTAATCCCGTAAACTGCCTACTCTGCATCTTTAGGGAACGTCATGACTCAATCACTGCTGCGGGCAGCAAGCGTAATGGTGTCTAAACGGTCCGCAACAATACGTCAACAGCATTCTGGCCATCCAGTACGCATCGATTACGAGAGGATGTCACATTTGTACATTTAAAAGTCTCAAAGCCGAGCATGACAGCACCAACCGCTCTGGCGAGGATCCACCCGCCAGTTGCTCCATGCACCTGAAATGCTGTGGTCTGGCGCTATAATAATTTTGTACTTTGCTAATTCTGGGCTGAGCAATCCATCAAAAGCGTTAAGAGCCTAAAACGTATTATTTCAAACCGTATATGCCTGACTTAAACCTGAAAGCTGCCCCGGAACCTGTAACGACGCATCCACATCATTCAAAACTGGTTGTCGGCAACAACTATTCTGGACTTCCCGTATTTTGTGAGAGTCTAGTGATCGCCTTCCCGAACTCTGTGATAATCAAGTCTGATTGAATTAAGAAAAGGACGAGTATCGGATGTCGATCACCGAGGGGCATCATACAAATTGTACATTGGCAATTGTACAACATTGTCACATCGAACATTTCCATCCTGCCTAATTTCGTGGAAGTGGCGCAATAACACATCTTGAAAACCTAGTTCTAGATACTTTCAAACCGCATCACAACTGCATCAAGACATTTACATGCATTAAATAGGGCCCATAACAGTAACCAGGTGTGCAGATACTTATTCGGGTCTATTAAGGCAAGACGGGACGAGCGAGAATAGACTTGGCGAGTTGGCTGCATTGTAAATCAGTCCTATCCTAAGACATATTAAACCTCCCCTCTCTTTTTTACTCCTATATTTCAGGAGAGACAACTTTTACGAATACCGCTAATCCTGCAACGCTATCTGAACAAATTATTTTTGCTCATGGCCAAACATCCACCGATACATGACAACATGTTACCGTCCACGACTCAAAGTTATATCAATAAGCTCACTTCTTCAATTAAAAATTGACAATGTCGCTAATTGCAAAGCTATAGATTTCCGTTCCCTAAAATATTTTATCTACAACATCGTCGATTTATGCATTAATACGTCAACAACTCAGAACAGCAACACTTCGATCACGATGTACAATCGCTATTTTCTTTCTCATCCGGATACCGCGGCTTAGTCCTGCTTCTGCCTTCTGAGCTTTACTTAATCAGAGAACATTTCAGCTTCTGGTTATTTATAAAGGCAGAAATTGAGAGCTGATTGCTGACTACTTATTATTGAGAAGGAAAAGTTACGACTTAATCTGCTTTGAACGGTGGGGTCCGAAAGCAACTTTTTGGTGATCGTTCTGGCCAGGCATCTAATTATGAGCCGATAGCATCCAAAAATCTCATAGCAAGCCAGACCGTGCTTCAGGGTACACACTTTGGTCGCGAAGACCGTATTTTCGATCTGGTACATGGAGTGGATTGACATTTCGTGATAGCTAACTGATGCCATTAGTTTATCTGCCCCTTCAAGAATATAAGTGCAACGGTCCTCCACGTACCCTGGTATGAAAGGGCGGGTCGCACAAGATGATGTAATTTGAGTAAGCTCACGTAGACCACAGGTGCAGCGGGGCTGCCATATCTTAGCGCTTGAGGAAGCGTAAGTTATGTCACCGACCTTTCGTTCTATACTTAGAACAAGTACGAGTTAGCGGATCGCAATCCGCTTACTCCAAGAGTAATTATTGCCTTAGGCTAATTGACTCTTCCGTCTAAATCCAAAACTGACTTTATTTATTTTTATCTGCGGCAAAGCCGCCTGATCAAAATGGATAGATTTTTATAGTAAAATCTACATACATGCATAAGTACTGGCTACTCAGCCACGTACCGTAGTCTTATTTGAGTGCAGCACACCGTGCCCATCTCGTGTGACAGACACCCCTGATACTAGGGTACGCATAACCCCCGTTACACTCCCCCCATTAAGATTGAGAACATTTAGAGTTTTTATCGATCACTGCTTCAACGAGGCATGCGTGTCCGCTAGACACTGCAACTCCGTTCGTTGGAACTAAACGACTTCCGTGCTCAATGAGCCCTGTGTCAATGACACTGAAGTCACCAAGTCTCGCTGGTTCTAACAGCGCACACGGGCAGAGCCCAACTTCGTCTCCCGCGCGCGATACAATGTCGAACAGTGCATCCGCGACATCGAGGGATGTAAATCTTAGGCTCGACGAGCCCGAGCGTCAAGCTCCGCCTACGCTATCAATGACGAGTGACCTCTTAGAGAATGTGGAGGTGGTCGACTAGGAGTGTGACACTCCTTTTCCCGCATGGGATGACGAGGAAGGCGAGCTGCAACAGCAGCGTGATACGAGCCCTGCTCGCGCCTTGCGGACCCCATGTTCGCTCCCTGACTTCTCGTCAACCGAGGAACGTGGGGTAATAACCAATGACCTCGACGGGGATCAGAGGCGGCTGCTTAGAGCTGCCCATAGGGCAGCTCCAAAGCGCCCCCACCAACGGCCCGTCATTGACCCTCGTGTGGAGTATGTTTTCCGCACAGCGGATCCCGCTGTGGACGCGAAGGATGCGGTACCTCGATCGTTACGCGTCCACATCATCGGGCCCCCGGCCAGAACTGAAGATGAACTTGCCAAACGGAAGGCTCCTCGAGCTTGTTTCTTGGTTGCGCAAAAACTTCCGGTGTAAGCTTACCGTACTCGTCTGAGTGCCCAACGAGGTGGTTCTCGTGTACCCGCAATGTAGACAATAGCTGTAGTGCTCGCCCCTGGCGAAAGCGCTACAGATGACGAAGCGCTCTTTGAGCAATGGCTGCAACGGCAGCGGAAACGTTTCTCACTGTATGGTCGATCCACAAGAAAGTGGACGTGCGTGTGGAGCGGCACTCAGATTTGAGTTTGCCAAACTCAAGGCACGCCGTCGACTTCTTTCGGATTGTCGCCCTGCAACATATGGGTTAACCCCTAATGCTTCCGCAAGCTCTGTATCTTCGACCGCAAGAGCTCAGGGCTACTATTTGAGCAGCTCAGCTCATGGCCCTTCTATTTCCCTGGCTATTGCCGGGAAGCGCGGGGCGTCTGATGACGCGGGACGTTCTGATCGTTTCGATCAAAAGCGTCCACGACGATTGGGCAATCTTGCCGAAGTGGCGCCTCGAACCCCCACGAGGTTTCGGAGTCGGGATATCCCCGCCACTTCGCCAGATATTGGGTTTGACCCTAGTGACGACGTCGTCTCACGAGACGTTCCACGTCATAGTGGACGTCACCGTTCTCATCGAGAAGAGTCGGTGGCGGGCGGTGACGACCGGGCCGACCGCCGTCCGGTGATTCGTGCATCTCTTCGAGCCCTTGAGAACGAGGTCCTTCGTGATCGAAGCTCCGCTGAGCGTCATGCTGAAGTAGCATATCGCTGTGCGGACGCTCTTGACGATT